TAAAGAACAGAACCGCAAAAATGCTGGAAGCAACTGAAATGGACTTTTGGAGGGGATCGGCAGGCAGGTCAAAAATGGAAAGCATAATAAATCTAAGAATAAGGGAGATTATAAAGGACAAACAGCTGATCTGGTTCGGACATGTACAAAGAATGGCAGATACAAGGATACCCAAGCAAATTATTGAGTGGAAGCCAGGGGGAAGAAGAAGACGCGGCAGACCAAGAAGCTGGAGAAGTGGAGTGGACGAAGAAATGAGAGACAGAGGCTTAGAGGATGGTGCCTGCATTGATAGAGATGGTTGGAGATCGGGAATCGGAAGACGTAGAACGTTATAAACCGATGTTTATATACATATAGAGTAATTGTTTCAGTTGTATCTTGAAAAGCGTAGGAGAAATATAAGCACCCTTGTTTTAAACCCTTTATTGACTTCAAAAATCATTTGGTCATTTATCTTCACTTTCGCCTCGTTATAGTTCTGGAGGTATTTAATTGCCTTAAAGTAGTTGTAGGTTTATATTTATTTTTTTCTTACGCTTTCCAAAGTATAGTTAGGGGTTCACTACCCTAGGTCTTTTGTAAATCTAAATACAGGGGCAACGGAACTTGCTGATTTGAACTGGGCACCGTGAACAGAGGGGTTCTAACACCGAGGGTGGTGGAAAGAGATGGTTCGGGAAGTTTTTTCCTCTCGGATTATTCCTGGACCTTCATCACAATTGAAAAGAAGAATAGGGTTACCGTGTCTCGTGAGAACATCCACATCGGAGCAGCAAGACAATTAGAGATTTGGTAGGCGCTCGACACCCAAGCATGCAGCTGTCCTTTGACTTCCTGAAAGTTCTATAAGGCAACTTCTTTACTACTATGTAACTCCTTTTGTTAACGAATCAAGAGGCGCAGCTCAGTTTGCTCAGTGAATAATTATTAGAAGTGGGTTAATAGTTAAATAAGTACAGAATGGCCAGGGCGCCACTGAATTTGTAAAAATAAATAATTAAATTACGTAAAATATTTGAAGTGTGAAAATTCAGAAACACACCTAAAACAAATAATTAGCACAAGCCAATTGAAAATTTTGGAAAGGAAATAAATAAGGCATACAACTCAACCAATTCTTGACATAGGTAAAACCAATAAAACAATCAAGTTATTTTCAAATTAAATTAGTGTATATTTCCACAGTGATCAAATTCAATTCACAGGTCGGAAAATAGAGAAAAATCAGTTAAGCAGTAAATAATAAATCAATGGATAGAGGTTTAACCCTCAATTGGATCCATCAAACTGAAAAAATAATATCGCAATATACACTAGAATAGTTGTCACATAATTTAACTTAACAGTCGCTGGCCATATCATTAACTTGAAATGAAAATATGAAAGATTAAGTTTCCAGAAAATTAAGTTTAAACAAAAATGAATGAATGAAAATTTTAATATTATATGGATAAATATGGTCAGCTTCTGCCAAAAAAGTAAAGTCAGTAAAACCAAATTGAAACTGTATGAAACCAAAGGTTAAACGTTGAAGGTATACAGGAAATATAACAGAAATCCTCAAGTATATAAGCTCTAGAACCCAGGTGAAAAATTGATCAACTTTTGCCGATATCGGTACTCACTTATTAATAAATATAAATTTGGAACATATTGTTCAACCTCGACCTCAGTTCAGATTAATGATTACTAAAATAAACAATGTCAAAACATGGCAGTACTAAAAGTTAATTAAAAATAATTCAATAATTAATTCGATATGCCCATGCTCCACGAAAATGGGCATCGTTAGCAATGTGCGGGTTCGTCGAATGAAACCAAGTCCTCGAAAGAAACGGGCTCTTCGGAAGAAACTGGCTTCTCGAAAGAAACTGACTCATCGAAAAACCTCAAGTATTAGAGGCATTCCATGAACAACCATTACTCAAAAAAAAAAAAAAAAAGAAATAAACACGAGGGAGTTTGAAGTTCAAACTCAAATGAAACGGTAATCACAAGCCTTCGATATTGAATTTTTTGGTAATTAACGGAACATTTCCTTACGCTACTTTATTTCGTCAAACTAGTGCCTGATGGCCGATAGGGTACCTCTCGGGGTACCTTTTTCCACGAGAACGTAATCGATATTTCACTTAGCAAGATGGTTGTCCGCAGGCCAGGATCTTATCGACCTTTCAGGTCGAAAGTGAAAATTAAAGGAACGAAGAATAGGACAAGCTGAACAAGCAGAGCTTCCCTTCGAAAAATAGCCAACGGAAAGTGTTTGTACTAAACTGGTACTTAAAATTAAAAGAAAAAGGGTGTCCTCTTAATAATTGCTATTATTATTGGCAGCAGATACCTTTTATTAATAATGCCAGTCATCAGACTGTCAGCATTCAAGGCGATAATTGATTCTATAAAACAATATATGAAAGAAAAAGAAACAGTTACGAAGAGTAGCATTTCACATGTTACAATGTAACATTTTCAACCTACAAGTTAGCTGCAGTATAATAACTCACTGAATGTAATTTTGTTGCTCGGCAAAATGCATGTGAAGTGTCGTTCGAGAACTTGCCTCATGATACGCTGTGACACGAGTTAAGTACACTCTCACCTGTCTTGGTGTGTGAATGAGTGCTGACAATTAAAGAGGCCTCTCCATTCCAGAAATCATTGATTCTTACCTTTTTAAAGAAAACGACCGTACAGTTACTGTAAATTTTGTTCGATACTTCCACATGGTTGGAAACTTTTTTGTCCCCAATCTTGAAGGAATGAAGTTCCCTGAGCGCGTGATTTTCTCGAGAGGTCATTATCCGCGGGCTCTTTTTTTTAGGGATATACAAAGTCTAAAGTTAATTGTTTATCCTGATTATCCAAGGACCTAGCCCACTTGAAGGATAAAGTTTTCCAAAAAATAGCTCGTGAATATACACAAAAGAGTTGACCGGAGCATCAGAAATTGACTCTCTGAGTTAGTTACAATGAGGGGCGTCACTTGCCGGATATTATTCTTAAAGCTGTGTAATTTTATTTTCATTTACATCTAGGTATATAGAAACTCGTCGACAAAAGCTATTTGAAATACCTATTAAATATAAAACGTTATGTTTTATTGACCTTTTTAATCAGCAAGTTTCGTTGCCCTATCTTGTACTTCATACGGAATATCTTATGTCTCCAGAGCATTGGCTTCGGCTTCTTATTAGACGCATATCGATGTGCTGATCGATAAATAAGTTTGTTTCCATTTTCATTGACAACGTACTTCCCTTTGTTGGAGAACAGCTAAACTATTCAGCTTTCGACCTCTTCCACTCCTAAGACCAAGATCTCTTCAGGAGCACTGACTGATGTTTTTTTTTTGGCGTTGCATCATCATTTACTGTATAAATTTCAAAAATCATAAGTTTTTACCCGTGATATTAATTTTCATCAATCTTTCGTTCAGAGATTACCGGTTACTCAAATAAATACTTAAAAACTAGGACATATGTTTACGAACTGATGCCAAATAATATACACCCAGTGTAATGTAAAGCCGATTAAACCAGCTCATCAATCGTGAATAAAAAAAAAAACCTATATAGTTCTAGCGCTGGAACATAAAATATCGCACAATTGTTGCTAGAGCTGGTTTACGAATATACATAGAAAAAAACACTGAAAATTGTAAGTATAGTAGCTTTTTCCTAGGTTAACCAATTTAAGTTTAATTGCAGTTTAGCTCGCTTTGATGGCCTCTATTTTCATCCCAACTTTAGAGCGGCGAAGTGAAATCCAGGATGAAATGTAATTTTGAGATTTGCGGCAACAACACATCCCAAAAATTTAAGTATTTTACTTCAAAATCGTTAATTCAAATGAATAAATGTACATTTCGCTCTGAAATAAAAAAAAAAGTTCTCAATAAAGAATCTCCAATTAAAAATTAAATAAGAATTAGACAAATAGAGTGACAGAAAGAAAGGCGAAAAAAGAATTTGCACCAGAATTCCATTAAAGTGTCAGTTGTTAGATTGGTACTTCCTTGGAAATAAAAACGCTGGCAAATATTTTAAAAGTGCTTCGACTTATTTTATTAACTGCCTTTGAAATTGTCAATTAAGGTAAGACAGCTTTCACAGTGTTTTAAAGTCCAATACAATCCAAGGTAAGGGTTAAAGAATCGTCGGAAAATAATTTCATTGTAGCTACTTGAGTAAAACAATTATTTTCAATATATCCAATTGCGAATAGAGCTAGAGGACTGTCAATTATCTCAAAGTGGATATTTTCTTTCCTTCTCTAATTTCACGTATTTACTTATTAATAATGGAAGGAAAATACCTATTATAGTTTGTCTGGTTCAGATTTTTTTTTTTTTTATCTTAGTATCTATATCAATTGGACTCCTACTTGCTCCATTTAGTTAAATGAATTATTCACCTTAGATATTATAACTAAAATTCGCCCTATCCATTACACCTCAAGCTAAACTTTAATTTTAATTCAACACAAGCAACAATGCACCCTCGAATATTTCAATTTACCGCGTCTCGAGGATAATCTTAATAGTACTATTTGTCAACTTGATGTTATATAATTACACTTTAGAGCAATCCGACAATGGAGCCGTTTAGATTCGCCCGTGGGGTCGAAACGACACACTTTTGAGCTCTATTGGGTTTAGGAGGCTCAAATTCCACTGTAAAGTTCCATGAACTGGGTGGACCGTAATAATTTACCTAAAGAAGTCCCTATACCGGCCGATTTAACAAGCACAAATATTGAAGAAGTAGGTATCTTCTGAATTTTTCAGATGATTACTTATAAAAAATATCGATTAGCATCACAAATTGAGCTTTCTATCATCATAAAAACTACCTTATAAAAGAAGAGCTAGTCAGCAATATAGAGCATTCATAAATTGATGTATACCAAAACTTGAAAAGAGATTCACAAGCTCTGGTTACAACTAAATTCTTAACATTGGAATATTAGAAAACATCAAATCGCTAACTATAACTTACTTTGGCGGACAGCTATGTGTGTTACACTCTACAACTGTAGACTCGGGTCGTTGCGAGTCATTGCATAGTTCTTCTTCAACTTCATCTCCAGTGACTCGATTTTGACAGATTGGTCGGGACATTTTGTAGCCTGAAACACAAATTTATCTACAATTCAATTCCTAGAGCAATGATTTCAAAATAATTAAAAGCATACGGTCTTTATAGTTGAACGTGACATTTCCTATAGCCTAGGCCTTAATCAGGAAAACTTAGCACATTTGTTGCCTGCTGCTGAAAACAGGTGCTTTGATATTTCGGGAAATAACGGAATTCTCATTAGAAGCGTTTTGCTTGCTGCATTGCAAGTAGTCTCATTTATTGATTGCCTCTAATGCAAGAATAAGTCAATTTTGTATGCCACATTTATTTCTGTTTATAAAATAAGTATAAATTCTGTCCTGATGTAGAAAGATCTGTTTTAATATTATATTGCCTTGTGCAATTCCAGATTCTAACAAAAATTCCATTAGAAAAATACATTGTTATTTTCATAGTTCGAAAATGTAACTAACTAGCCAGCCATGATTATCCATAAAATCAGTTTACTGTAGAAAAACAATGGTATGGTATTTGGCAAATGAAATCTGGCCATTGTTAAAATGTTACGATCTTTCAATAAATAGCCTTTGTTTTGAGGTAGAGCTTCCAATTTAGTTTTCAATGCAACTTTTTGTAAATATAAAGTAGGTACATAAGTGGTTTATTTTGGGTATTAAAAGCGAGTTTTCATCAAACTTTTGAATACTGTCGCACTGAGTGCACAATAATTATTTTGACTGAAAAGTTTGTTAATCCAGGATTAAAAAGTAAGTTAATTTAAAGCATTTTTGAACATAAAAAAAAAGACCGGAACCAAATAATAATGGTAAACGAAATGTTATCAGAGTTGAAGTAAATTGCCTAAATTCCAATAAAAATTCCGGCGGGGCCCCTAAGAAATAGTTGTTAGAGAAAAACTTTGAAACATTTGGATATTTTCTTCTCGATTTAAAATTGTTGTCTCCCACAAACTGTGGGAATTGTGGGATCACATTTAATAGAAAAGAATTGATACAAATTTTTTTTTGATCAATTTGTCACAGCCCATCTGGAAATTTTGCCGGACCCATTTTTGTCGATTGTGAGGATTTATTTTGCGCATCACATTACTGATACACGGACCAATAGTTCAACATCGCTTTCCGAAAGATGACGTTCCTTGCTTATTACCAAATTCCAAATGTTAACATCGACGATGATCGGCTGGGGCATTTGAGTCCTTGAGGAAAAACTACGAAAAGCGTTCCATAAATCTTGTACCTTAAGCCGACCTCGCAAAAGCATCAGTTCCCCCATGGTGGACAGCGGAATTAGGGCAACTGGGGATCAAAACAAGGAAACTTTCAAACCCAGCAAAAAGAGGAAGTAATTAGGAATACTATGAAATAAATACAAAACTAGTTTCAACCGATATAAAAGCGAGATTAGAAAGGCGAAAAGCAGCTCATGGCAGGAATTCTGTGAGTTCATCATGGACAGTCATGCATGAGTCAGACATGCTAAGGGAAATTCTTTCGATACGTGGACAGAATCCAGCAAAAAGATCCTCGAGCTTCTAATGAAGACACAAGATACACTTCCCAGGTTGTACAGAAGCAGATACCGACGGAGAAGTGATGAAAAGAATAATAACATTAATAACGTGGGATGGGCAGTAGAAACCTTCCACCTGCAGAACCGGAAAGAATAATGCCAGTTATGCTACATAAATCCCTGGAAGCATTTTAGAACCGATACTAAAAATATTTGCTGATTGCTGAACACTAGGGCATACACCAGCATAGGCATATCAACCCCAAAAGACTAGATATAGACCAGTTTATCATCACTCTTGTTAAAGCCTCTAGAGAAGCTGATTGATCTACACATTAGATAATTAACGGGAATAAACACGCAAAGGCCGGACCAATAAGAATATAGTGGAATAAAATCACTGCTCTAACTCGCTGTTTTCTGAGGGTGGGTGATTCCGAGGTATAACCAGATGAAACCTATATCATCTTGTAGAGGACACTTTGGGGCATAGGAAATGGGAATGTACAACTTTTTTTAATAGGACTGAACTTTGAAATCGGCCCTTAAACGTGACTGACCTCGAATTTGAAAAACTATGTTTTTCTAAACATTACCCGCTGTATTAATTTAAGCATACAATCTAAAATTCTAATTTTTTGCACACTTATACTTGAAATATGAGCGCTTCTAATGACAGTTCAGAAATTTCAAAAAGGCTCAAGGTTTTTTTGTTAAAAGGTTAGGAATATAGAATTATCAAAATCTTAAACTTCACCCTGCGGGAGCAATGTGTATTATTGAAAATTTCTATACATATATATCGAATCAAATGTAGTAGAAACATTGACGAAGTTTTTAGAAAAAAAATTAAGGTGCTAACTTTAACGGTTATAGAAATATACATTTTTATCCAAGAGCCCTGGAGTGCGCTCAGCCCATCGTGAACCGCGTCGCGACGGAATTATTTGTGCATTCACCGAGAGGTGCATTTTCTGACTTTTCCAGTTTTGTGCGTTCGTATGCGAAAAAGAGCTAAGTCTGATTTATTATCAAAGTTTGAACCATATTCAACAGTCGCTTCTCTTCGAACTGATGTTAAACAAGGGTGTGACTAAAAAAAGCAACTTAAGCTACTTAAATCAAGAAAAAAAATCTAAGATCTCCCGTAGAAACCGCAGTTTTTCATTCAACATACTATCCGAGAAAATTCTTCATGAAAATAAATTTTGCGGGAACTTGTGACGTCACACCGGCTAACCGCCGAAATCATATCCTTCTGTTTGTTCAGTGGTTGAACCGTGCTCTATACTTTAAGTGGTTGCATTTTGCTTTAAGTGAGATCGTTGACTTTTGTCTTGGAAAATTTTACACATATTTTAACTGTGCCTCCGAAGCCAGTGTGACGTCACAGCCTAGGCGTTTGTCACTTTAAACCACCCTTTTACTCGGAAACGGTTCATCGTAGCAAGATGCGGTTCAAATATTTGTTCTTAGATTTTTTCGCACTAAAACTTCATTTTTGGGTCACAATCCCTTCAATTCACTTATAATAGATAGCCTGGTACTTATTCAAGGACTAAATGATAAAGCATTTTCAACTTAACTTTTAATGAACTCGCAAGTATTTTTCTGAAGCAAATTCTTTCACTTGGTCGAAGGTATGAAGCACTAAGAATAACGGAGGTTTTTATCGGTCAAGTCTTTGGAAAGACGCAGAAGAAGTAACTTCGCAGATACGTATGCGTATAAAGTTTCTGGAAAGAGAAAAGTGATGAAGTTTCGGAATTTTTTAAAATTGTCAGAAAATGAAGAATCCCTATTGAAATTTGTAGCTGGTTATATTTTGGAACATTTAGCTGATAAATAGAAGAAACTCTGATAATCGCTGGTGGTTTTGAAAACCCAGAGTTATGCTTTCCTGTCAACAAGGATGGTGTAACCGTGTAACCGAATTGAAAGATTTGAAATCGAATCATGATGAGACTGATGAACGACTTATAATCCACGTCTTATATGAATATCAGATACTTCACCAAAAAAAGTGTTGGTGAAGTCTGCAGATGCAAATGTTCTGGTATTACTTATTCACCACTATTCTGAATTTATTGAAGTAAGTTCTTTGAAAGAAACCTACCTTTTTATGGAATTAGGACAAGGGAATAAAAAACGGATCATTCCAATAAATAGTGCAGAAACTGGAAAATGAAGTTTATAAATGTTTACCAGCGTTGCATGTGTCAACAGGATGCGATACCACAAATGCAAAGGCAAAAAATGTATTTTCTAAAAATCTTGGAACCTTATATTGCCGCCAAATTTGCATAGGCCCTATTCAGAAATAAGAACGAGGCCCTAAAAACTCTCGATGAATTGAGATATCAATTGACCACAACTTCCAATAAATCCGTTTCTGAACTTCTACCCACAGATGATGCATTTTACCAGCATGTACTGAGCTAGGTGTATATATAACAAAAGGAGCTGTATTTATGCGATAAACAAAATTTCAGGTGCATATATCAACTGCGTATATGGATATTATGCAGTCGTATACCTATTATGCCTATACTTGACCCTGTTAACTTTGGTTGGACTAGGAATATTGGAATTTTTGAGCCTGTTTTGATGACTGCTGATCTCATACCAATCGATATAAGGCAACTAATGAATGTCTTCTGCGAAGATATATTATTATGTCAAAATAATAAATGTGTCTGCTTGAAAGAGGGTTTAACGTGCTGCAGCGATTGTTTCTGCAAAAGTTGTCAAAATAATGTTCCTGATTTATATGAGGATGACGAAGGAGAAAATATTTAAACTAACTTCATAAAAAAGGAATCAATCTCAATCAATTACCTTATGGTTATAGATTTTTTAATTTTATTTCTAGATGTAACGCTAACGCACTAACGCAGATGATTTCCAGAATGGTAGCCGCTAGCCGCTATCAGCATCAGAGCGCATTTCAAAGCTCCCGGTTAAAAATTCATATTTCTATAACCGTTAAAGTTAGCGACTTAATTTTTTTTTCAAAAACTTCGTCAATGTTTTTACTACATTTGATTCGATATATATATGTATAGAAATTTTCAATAATTCACATAGCTCGACGCAGGGTGAAGTTTTAGATGCACGATTTTGCTAATTCTGTATTCCTAACTTTTTAACAAAAAAACCTTAAACCTTTTCGAAATTTCTGAACTGTCATTAGAAGCGCTCATGATTCAAGTATAAGTGTGCAAAAAATCAGAATTTTAGATTGCATGCTTAAATTAATACAGCGGGTAATGTTTAGAAAAACGTAGTTTTTCAAATTCGAGCTTAGTCACGTTTAAAAGGGCCGATTTCAAAGTTCAGTCCTACTGAAAAAAGTTGTACATTCCCATTTTCTATGCCCCAGAGTGTCCTCTACAAGATGATATAGGTTTCATCTGGTTTATACCTCGGAATTTTACTCCACTAATACCGTGAAGGAAGGTCGGTGGAAAGTGCACTTCAGGAAGTAGTTGGAATAATTGAAAAATCT